CTTAGTGCTGTACACATCCTCACAGGGTGGCCGCCTGCACATCATACTGACATCACTCTGCACAAGCCAATCTACCACCTTGCTCTCAGCTGATAGAACCTCTGTGGGTGTGGCTACCAGAGAATTACTGGGATGCTGCTTGCTACGCTGACGAGAGGAGAACTTGGTCACATGATCCTTGATTTTAATTTTGCCTGGCATGCAGTCATCAAACTCGATAGTAAAAGAAGCATGACTCTGGACAACTGGAGGTGTAGAAATTAGAGGAATATTGGTGTCTTTGGTTGGGATATCGATTAAATCTGTTGTTGGAGACTTGGGTTGCATATTGAACTCCTTTGTTGGAATTTCAAAATAACTGGGCTCTCTGTGGTACGGGTAGGTTGATTTGGCCTGGCCGTCACGGATCTCCTGAACAGTGATGTTAAACTCATCCTCAGCTGTCTGGGCCTCCTTTGTGATGTCTGTCAAGAGACACCAATACCAAACTGTAAATATGGTAAGACAAATATCCATATCGATAACACACAAAAAGTGGCTGTAAGGGAGGACAAGTGCTTACCTGAATGACTCTCACCCGACCTTCTTACTTCATTGTGTGCTTCCTTGTTCCCAGAGTCCTCCTCACCCCACCATGATGGCTGGCCATACAATGGTGTTGGCCGAGGTACAGATGACTCTGAAGAGGAACAATTACACAGGTAAAACTCAGAAAGAGAGGGTGTATAAGGAATAAAGAGAGATGAAGAGTTGGTTACCATCCAAAGCACAATTTATTATACTCAGTGGGTAAAAAGTATGTTTTTTTGAAATATATTTCTACCTGAAATAAGTTTTTATTGAGAAATTTTTTATTATATTATTGACAATAATTAGAATTTTTTTCTCAAGTGTCACATTATACACGTTAACATAACTACAACAGAACAAACAACCAAGTGAAAGCTTTTCTAGGAATTAAATACATCACTTTAAATGTATACTAAATAAGTACTAATTAATTTAGTATTACTAAATTGTTATAATTATAATAATAATAACTAATACTATTTGTTCATCTATTATTATTACTTCCTCATGTCTTTTTTTCCATTTTTAGTTTTCTCCCAAACTATAATTTATAATTGTAACTGATAATATAATTTGTAATAAAAAATGACTTGTAGGAACATATTCACTAGTGATTTCAGACTTTCAGACACCACTGTATGTGCATGGATTTAATGAGCTTTTCAGCATTTTACTTTCCAGGTTGAGAGGTCCATGAGCTATGTGGTGCATGGTAACAGACTGCTCATTGATGGACATGTCAGTGCAGTGCCAGCAGCTGGACTAAGGCGTAAGGATTATCTTTAGGATCTGTCACTTGACCAAAAGCTCAACTGGGAGGGGTTTACAAATAAACCAGGCCACTGTACTGCAGTGTTACAGATAAACAGAGATTAACAAAGGCTGTGAAAACAGACAGAATGTTACTGACACACAAACATGGAGTACCCGCTGTACTCCATGTTACAAAACATTTTGTTTTATCTCTCTCTCACTCTTTTTTTCTCCTGACTTTGGTCATTCTTGATCACTCTCACCTGTGAGACTCTTGCGTTCAGAGCGCTCTAATTTGGACCTTTCTTCCTGCAAGTTCTGTTGCTTGCTTTCTGTAGATTTTATGCCCATTTGCAGCTGACTGGTGTACTTCTCATGCTGACACAGCAGAGGGCAGTTAACCAAAAATAATAGATATATTAATATATATTACATAAAACATAAAATAGACACATATACACACAAACAGATTAAACCATACCTTGAGGGCCTCTTCAGGGACTTTATGTTGACTCTTCTCAAGAATATACACATGTGAATGTGCTCTTAACGTTAAGTGAACATATACATTATAACTTAAATGTATACAAACGTTAATGTATACAACTCTACAAACAAGTAGATCTTAAGCAAGACCTCAAGGTTTCATGCCAAAAAACCTATAACAACTAACCAGGAAAAAGGATATCATATCCAAAACGAACAATGTCCGACAGCTTGAGGGTTATGTATGTTTGGTCTGGAATTCTCAAGTCATTCACAAAGGTCTGAAATGGAAGAAGAAAAACAAATGAAGATGTATATGTGCTTGAGATTCAGGAAGGCCAGAGTTATTATGCTTTTTCCAAAGTAGAAAATGAGAAAATGTTCCTTAGAAATGAGGAACATCACAGGAAATCTGTCAAGATTTAACAACATTCAGAGTACAGAATGTATGCTTCTGTGTTCCGCAGAAGAAAGAAATACATACAGTTACAGAAAAATATGAGGTGATATGAGTGATGACAGAATTTTTGAGTGAACTATCCCTTTAAGAAAGTTTCCTATCCTAACCATAAAACATTTGTAATTGGGACTGGTCTGGTTCAAGGGTTGATTGATCGTTTTTGTGCATCTGCAACAGTATCCCAAAGGCATATGTCCTTTACCTTTGTCCAATTATTTTCTAAACCAAGGGGGAGAGATCATCCAGTCTTTCCCAGATAACATAACAGTAGTCTGTAAATGCAGTCATGTTTTCATGCCTATATTCTGAGCTTCAGTCACATTTGCTATGTTGCTTACCCCATTTAAACTTCCAAGATCCTTGACAAGGTGTTCATCTGTGGCAGGGTTATAGTTGATAACAGCATGCTGTTTATCCACACTACGAGACTAAAGAAAGAAAAACATGTTGACATCTGACATCTTGCTTATTCTTAAACCTAACTCCATTGGAAATGGTAATGTTAGCATTGGTTGGATATTTACAATCATTAAACAAATCCCACACTTCTGCTTCGTGAATCTTACCTGTGTGTGGCTTGCAAGCACTGTGTGTAATAATCTGGCCTCACGGGGTACCACTAAAGTAACACAGTCTCCTCACAATGGGCACCAGTATGCAGCAGGCCTCACAGGAGGCACCAAATTAATATGGTGAGTTGTAGGGTGCGTCTCAATCAGCTCCCTAGTTCCCGAGCTCATGAATCAGTAGATCGTGTACACGAATTCGGGCACTGCTAAGTTCCCTAATTCACTGCACGTTGACTTTGAGACAATGATCACTCGAATTCCAGTGAGCGACATGATTACGTACAATGTCAACGGACAACATAGTAGAACGTCATCACTGGAATTAATAAACAACATGCAGGACCAATTTAATTTTTATATTATTTTTTATTCTCTTTAAACACATCATTCTGTTACATGTTCTTACAACATTTCAGCCGAATATTAATTATAAATGTTAATTAGATGTGTTCAATTCCTGTCTAGCGATGTGTGTTTATGTTGAAATATACTAAAAAACGGTTTGTCTTTTCAAATCTTCTATCGCGCGTCATTATATTATTTGAGTTGGCTCGTGTGGTTTATGTTTCACGCTTCATAAATGTGACGTTATTTCCGGTAAGGGAGCATAGTGAGTGCCGATGCTCCCTAGTTTTTGCGGTGCATTGCGGGATTTTTCAGGGAGCGAACGTTCCAGTGCACTGGAAGGATTTCGCGATTGAGACAGCCTTTAAAATGGCCGACTCCCTGATCAGTGCCCTGACTACTGAACAAGGGAGCTGACTGAGACGCACCAGTAGTCATATGTCTTTTAAGTTGAATATGAAAGTGTCAGTTGATTCCATGCACCTTTTCCTAAATGTCTGAACTGACACAATGTGGTATGGCACTGTCCAAGCTGTAAGCTAAGTACACCTGCACTGTTTACATAGTTCCTTGCATTGCCTGATTAACAGAATCCTCAACTTGTTCACTTGGTACCATAGTATGAACGGATTCTTAGGAGCAAAGCTCAACTAAATCTTAAGTAAATAGTGCATTAATATGCAGACTAATTAATGGGAGTGGTCATGTTGAATGACATCCATTATACTGGCTACACTGTGGATGGTGCAGTTCAAGGGTCTGTATGGTGACAACCATTGTGTGTTGTGGGTTGTGAACTACGTAAACTCTGCAGCTACCTCTGAAGGGCTGTAGCACAGGTCCAATCAAACTATTCCTCCCTATGGAAGGGTGCCCTATAAGGAAGACTGGCTGACCGGAACTGACAACAAATTAGAACAACCCTGACTATGATCTGCAATGCTTTACTTTACATGCAGCAAGTAAGCTACTTACAGTTAGCAGTCGATTGCTAACACACTGATTCTAGTCTGCCAATTTTCAAAACCATTCATTCAGTTTCCGAAACAAAGACACGTTTCTCAAAACATTTAACACATTTCCCGTTTTCACACATGTTCCAATTTGCTCAGTTTTCTGCAAAAATCCACACAAAAATGTCGTCATTTTGCACAGGTTTAACAATTTTCTCAATTTAGAAAACACAGACACACAATATAATTACCTCAAGAATCACAATATGAACTCAAATAGCACACATTTATCCATGTGTGAACATTAAGCAGCAAAACTGATGACACACCAGCCAGAATCTCAGAATAATATAAATAGGGTCACAGGTGATTATGTGCTTTGGAAAATGAATCCTACTAGTGGGAGACAAAGAGGAAGAGGAGAAAGGGTTGGTGTGAAAGAACATTTGTTCCTGATGAAATACAAAGCACTAGAGTTGGCTATGTTCTTCAGCATGGAATGAGCACGAGGGAAGATGGCCTACAGGCTCATCTACAGGGATTTTACACTGTTTACACATACAATATAATCACAGTACACTCAAAAAAATGAACAAGGAAGGTTGTGCACTTTACATAATATATTTATATTCAGTTTACTTATAATAATTGTCTTTGTTGACTTTAAATGTTTTTTTCTATGAAGGTCCACGTAATTATGTCTCAATTTAACTGTACAAAATCCTAACGCGTTGTCTAAACACAAACCATTTATGTTAAGTAAAAAATTCTTACATCCAGAGGGTGGCAGTATAGTGCGACGCCAACTGCCATGAAACCCCAAAGAAGAAGAAGAGCAAGACGCGTCAGACTACACGTGCGCAAAGATATTTGACTCTGCACACCTGCGTGACCCCCTGCAAAGTTTTTCTTCGATTGGTTTTGACGGTGGGACGTCTTACCTTTTCAACGGCTGGTAAAGGTAGGAGGATATTTGTTTTTACACCAGTATCGATCTTTTTTATTTGTAATAAGAGATATGTTCTTTATTTTTGGCCTGCTTTAGTTTTAGATAGTTCTAGCGTCTTAGACATGCTGAAGTTAGCATGCTAGCTTAGCCACGTGGCGCAGGTTGGTCCGCTGCATATTTCCATTATTTGGGCGAAAAGTAATAAGAGAGAGTTCATTGATTAAAGTTCTCCGTCGCTACGATGGATTTCCGTTAATTGGACCGAGTCTACGACGGATTTTTTCCGTCAATTGCAGCGTTCCTGTCTGTCCATAATGTCTTGTATTCACTTTTCATAATTTTAAGGCTGTAAATAGGTTTACATTTATCAAATAGTGTAATAAATGTTTTAATTTGAAAAGAGGAGGTGTATTCAGCCTGCTGAGGGGGATGTGATCAAAGCCTGGAGTGGATTGAAAGCACGTTCTTCTCTCTAACGTTACTCAAGGGTTCTGTTAATCACTCCGCTCGCTATCCACTCCGGGTTTTCCATTCCCGCTCACGGAAAAACTGCTCCGTGTTCACTCCATTTTAAAAGTTATACTAGTATGTTTATTTTTTATATCATGAACGCCTGAACGCAACATTTATAATGCTATATGTAATGTTTTGGAAATTATTCTACACGTTTAATAAATAGAATTACACAATGTCAAAATGTATACCTGAAGTGTGTAACTTCCCTTTCATTTTTCTGACTAACGTTTAAGTTGTCGAGGGTTCTGTTGATCACTCCGCTCGGTATCCACTCCGGGTTTTCCATTCCCGCTCACGGAAAAACTGCTCCGTGTTCACTCTATTTTAAAAGTTATACTAGTAGGTTTATTTTTTATATCATGAACGCAACATCTATAATGCTATATGTAATGTTTTGGAAATTATTCTACACGTTTAATAAATAGATTTACACAATGTCAAAATGTATACCTGAAGTGTGTAACTTCCCTTTCATTTTTCTGGCTGTAGCGTTTAAGTTGTTGTAAGTTTTTGACTCTACTAAAGCATAAAAATACAATAATATGTTTGCAGATATATTTAAGAAACGTACTAAGTTAACACTTGTTAATTTGAAAAACAATGCTAGTCATTCTCCGTTGAAACTGCAATACTAAGTTCAACCACTAGGTGTCCATCTGACTAAAACTAAAATCTGCTGTCAAAATTAACAGTGGTTAATACTTGGTTTGAAACTTGTTTTTTTCCAATTTGTTGTGATACTTTATAATAAAAATTACAAAGTGTGATTATTTTATTGGTTTGTAGTTTTTCAGTTCAGATTAATTCAATTAAACAAAATCTTTATCAAATTGTTTTGTTTGTTTTCATCCTTTGCAATTTTTCAGGTCCTTAATGAAAGGTGTGTTTTGTGTTCCTGCCAAGGTGCTTTACTCACAATAGGTAAGATCTGCAACATCTACTAATGTAAATACTGTTTCTTGCGTGACCATTTCATTTGTTAGTTCTGAGTAGCTTGTTTCTGTTTGTATCCTGTTTACTTTTAATTATCAGTAGCAATTGATCAGAGACAAACCCATGATTGCAGAGTTCACTGATGGCCAGGACGGTTCACTGTGCCTGAGGTATAAACTGCTTCTTAAAACATCCATAATCAATGTTATATAATGCATCAAATGACAGTGTGAAAGAATTATAGAATACTGTAACATATGGTCTTTTTACTAAAATTTTAGTATACACCAATAACAGGTTGTTTGTGAACATTATTTAAAGGTGGAAGCAGAATTTCTGAGGATTACCACTGTTCCCCTCGTCACAACGTTTTTTGCACAACTTGACCACCACGCTGATCAGCTCATCAGAGTGCTGAAGAAGACAGGTGGATCTAAAGGAAAGAAAATTAACCTCACCTTTGCCCCGACTGCACCGGTGTAGTTTACTTCTTTGTAGAACACATTTAGGAATAAGTAAATTTTGTCTAGTCTGTGTTGCCATTTGTCAGAAACCAATAACATCTGCAAATGCACCCCATATGATAAAAATTTCTTTGATTGTGTTTCACAAAGCTTCTGAGATTAACAGCACATTTTTTCCCTTTAAACAAATTGCTATTTCGTATTTACACTACACACTATGGATAAATAACCAGAATTTTGAGGAAACTGATGTACTGACGTTCAAAAGGACCAATCAAAGTTACAAGCAACAGAAAGAACAGAACTACTCTTATTGCATAGTACCACCAACACACTGATCATTCACTCTGCAGTTTCCCAAAAAGCTTCCCTTTTCACTCTTTCTCTATTTGAGAGTAGGCCTGTCGCGATGGTCAATATATATCGACTTATCGCACGATATATGTAAATGAGCGCGATCATTTTTGGTGCTGCGATATTGCCACTGATCATTTTCTATAATTATAAATGGATTATTCTAATTTTTACATAATGAATACCATTGTGCTGCCTCTGTCATCTCCTCTGCTCTCTGTGGCGGAGATGGGGACAGGGCTCAGGCGCGGCTGCACACACACACACACAGAGCGGAAAGTGTCAGGTAATGCAAGCCGCAAGCTTTAGCTCCAATATGGGAACATTTTGAATCGCGAACTTCTTGCAGGGCACCATTTCACGTGTGATCCTGCATTATTTCCTTATCACTTCTTGCGTGCGTTTGGTTATGAAACATAGTTTGCGGACCAGACAGAGTTGCCTGCGATACTTTCTACTGTGAAGTCATGCAGTGTCTGAGCTCCTGTCGCCGATCATCGTGCAGTATGAACACAGCAGACATACAGATGCCTCATCAGTGTGAAATGGCGCACACATTCCTTATCACTTCTCGCGTGCGTTTGGTTATGAAACATAGTTTGCGGACCAGACAGAGTTGTCTGCGATACTTTCTACTGTGAAGTCATGCAGGGTCTGAGCTCCTGTCGCCGATCATCGTGCAGTATGAACACAGCAGACATACAGATGCCTCATCAGTGTGAAATGGCGCACACACGGTTAGCGTAACTTGCTATATAGCCAAAGAAATTATTATATGTGGTCAAGCTCAAATATGACCCCATTTATGAGCTTGACCAAACACTAAATAACTGCTGACCATTAATGTTACTTTGTTTTGTCCTAGTTCTTGTTACTGTGCACTTTCTTTGTTAACAAAGGTGTTTATTTATTTTTATCTATTATAAGATATATTTGTTCACATTTCTCATTCCAGTATCTAAATATTCTTAAGATAAAATGTTCTTTGTTCTTTGAAAGCGTGTACTTGCATTATTATGCTATTTTATCATTATACTGTCATTATGAAATCAGTGGCATAAAATGGTCTTAAAATGGCAATTTCATTTATCGCAATTAATTTTGGTGCAATATATCGCACAACAAAAAGTAGTTATCGTGACAGCCCTACTTGAGTGTACTCTAATTGACTAATTGCATAATCATTGATAATGTTTGTATAAGTAAATGGTCATTGTACATGTGCTTACTTTTTATAGTTAAAGTTTCACCCATTTCACATAATTATAGAAGTGTAATAGGTTTGTAGTATGTATGTTGATGCTGCTTTTTTTCTATTTAGAATGAAACCGTTGAAAAGAAGAGGGAGTGCCTCCTCAGGGCACTTTGTATCTAAATGGAGATCCAAGCAGTCTCTTCAAAGAGTATCTGGTAGGTAATACTAACAATTACTGCAGCAGTAACGGTATCCTAGGGCTTTTAAGAATATCACAATATCCATTTAACATTGTGGGATATGGCTTGTAGGAATGGCTATTTTGGTCTAGACCAAAATTCACGTTTCTGATAATCTTAAAAATTGAAAAATTATAATCTTATAAAAGTAGAATTTATGGCAGAGCTGCTATATTAGATGGCATCAGATCATACAGGTGTACTTAATAAAGTGGCCAGTGAGTGTACAAATTGTGAGGAATCAGTTTGGACCAAAAGTTAGTAATCAAGCACTATTTTAAAACATTTACGGAGAAAACTGCAATGCAAATGAGCTCTTTGGAATTATGTAATTGGCTGGTGATTTCATTGTTGTCCTTTTTTGTGTGTGGAAAGGATTCAGATGGCTGTGCTGCCCAGAGGGACCTTGAACAAGTTGTCTTTGGCATCTACAGCATTAATGCTGAGGGAGGTGATGCCACCACCACTCCAGTTGATGTTGGAATAGTGATTGAGGGTGTTGAAGTGCTTCACGACTTGGGAGACATCGCTTCTGCATGTGCACTCTTAATGGGTGTCATATATGCAATGAACCTCAGTTATCCTCAGGAACTCAAAACGTTCTTTGAGGTGCTTCAGAAAATCTTCCTCCAGCTGGATGCTACCAGACTCTCAACCAAGGTACAGATGCTTAAAAACAAACTGTATGAGTGAACCAACATTGAGCGTGTGGCGTTTAACATGAAGGCCTGAAAACTGACACTTGAAACCATTTAATTGAAAAACACTTAAGTTTATATACCTTTTTTTTTCTTCTTTTTTTTCTCCGGCCAATCCGTGATCAGCAGAGTTTACACGTCACGTTTTGGTAACGGTACGGTACGCTTGGAACCCCAACCGAGGTGGTACTAAAAAAAGTACCAGGTACTGTACCCAGTGGAAAACCCCCCAAAAGTGAACCGTACCGAGCCGTACCGTGCCGTACCATGCAGTGGAAAAGCGCCATTAGATGAGAGTACTTTCACTATTCTATGTACAGTAAATACTGTAGCACATGTTGTACACCCTCAGACTCATAACTGTTTTGAACTGTTTGAATCTTTTCTAGCGCATTTCATCTACTGTAAGATCTCTTTACAGTAGTGTAATGAAAGTAAACTTTTCTTAAAGCTTATTGCTGAATTTAACTGTATTTGCACCCCTCTATTTATGCTGCATACTGTAATAGACTTTGACTTGCAAAATGATTCCTGGTTCCCAAAAGAAGCAACAATTAGTGTTTGCTAGTCCATATAACATAACTGACTTTAGTTGGTTAAACTCAAACGTCTCTTGTTGAGCAAAAATGAGTGATAATAGTTGGCTTGAGTCAAAAATATTATTTCTCCCTAAAACAACCCCATTAAGTTAGATAACCTTGAAATATTTGTTTTCAACTTTCATAATTAAATTTTCTGTAAGATCTCTTTACAGTAGTGTAATGAAAGTAAACTTTTCTTAAAGCTTATTGCTGAATTTAACTGTATTTGCACCCCTCTATTTATGCTGCATACTGTAATAGACTTTGACTTGCAAAATGATTCCTGGTTCCCAAAAGAAGCAACAATTAGTATTTTTTAAATCAAATATCAGACACAGAGATACAATGAATATATGCATATATTCCTGGATACAACTCATTAAAAGCATAAATGCATTAACACCAGATATAAATTCAAAGCAAACAGGTTTCCAGAAACAGCAACAACTTTTGCACATACGAATGCCTTAATGAGTTTACTTTAAATTGTTTCATTATTAGAAGGTGTTCTTTCTGTCCCTAGAAGAGGAGAATCATCAGGGCCAGACTTGGGCTAAAATTCAGCCCATCTGGCTCACACGTTCCCCCATAAACATTTTGCTGGCTTAGGGCAATTGGAATAAATAAATGATTTATTATTAAATAAAGGACGGAAACAAATAATAGATATTTTTGATTATACTGCAAATGCATTTAACAATATGAATATTCCTTAATATTACAAGCTCTTAATTACTGAATTAATATTTACATACTGGTAAAAAATGTATAGCCTGAATGCACTGTAAGTCGCTTTGGATAAAAGCGTCTGCTAAATGCATAAATTATTATTATTAAATTATTAATATTTTACTTCAATTAAAGTTTATTAGAACTATTAAATTCTCATTTGTAGTTGCCCTAATGAAAAGCTATTGTAATTCTTGAATCCAGAATTAACTGTAGCATTAGTAAGATCATGAATCAGGCAAAAACTATGCTCCTCATTACTATGGTTTTATGGTTTCTATAACAACAACAAATGAAGAAGAAAACTATGGTATTTGTACTGAAAAATATTTTAAGCACATGAAACTAAAACAACCTCTATAAAAGTGACTTATTGCCTTTATATTACCCAATATTTAATATATGTATCCTATACTAATAGTGACATTAATAATAAATACCATAATTCCATATTTGTTAGTAACTGCATGGTAAATAGTGGTGCTGTGTGGACTGAAATGCTTGTATTTGTTATTGTTGACATATAATGTTATAAGTGTCGTGTGTCGAATTCAAATGGTTTAAGCATTGGTTATCACTTTAATGCAGTGGCGAAAGCGGCAAGCTCGTCAGCGTTGTGGGGGTGACACCAGTCCGGTCCAGCTGTTCTCACTCAATGTGCGGGTTAATCAGGTAGCGCCATTTCATTGACTTTTGGTGTTTGTTTCCCATGTGCTCCAGTAAAGCTGTGGCAATTAAAAGATACCCACAACACTAGTTGCGGGTATATAAACAGGTTAAAGCACAACTGGGAAAAACCAATCAATCAAGGTCTACTTTTCCTTTCCTCAACAGCCAATCACAGGCTCCCTCCATCTTTGGGTCCTGGGGCTTCTGCCCCGCCTAGCACTTACGTTAACCCGGTCCTGACCAATAGTATATGACACAACACAAAGTACTACAGCTGTAGTGCAAGCTTTGTAGACCATTTTCTCTGTTTCTTACAGAAGATGATGTTTATATTCAATATTCAACATATTATTTTGCAGAATTATTTGTACTTATACTTGCTAGGCAACAGTTCCTGGTTCACAAATGTGGCTAAGACATGCTTTTTTTACATTTCAATGGAAGGGCAAATGAAAATCCTACCTGCAGCATTAGCTCGCAGTCCTCCCGGCCAACAAAGATCATTTCCCGTGGCAGACGGTGACGAGTACCAGAGCTGCTGACCAGGAACCACGATGTCACGCTCATCTTTGTTTCTCAGAGAAACCCCTTTGCATCCTGTGACATAAAACAGAAAAACAAGACATGAAATACTGTATGTTTGATGAGGAGAAATTTTATTTAATACTTTAATATCATAGGGAGAACACAGTCAAGTAAACTCCTAAGTCATGTCAAATTACATGAGTTTATGATGTCATATTATATTAGTATGAATCAAACACTAATAGGTTAAAGGATAGGACAGTGCAGAAATTTCATTTAGCTTATTGTGTTAATGTCCATAAGGACATATTTCACATTATTTAGTTTTTGAGAAGTGAACTATATAAATAAAATTGGACCCAATCAAAATGTACCACAGTTCATTATAACACCAAGGTTAAATTCAATGCAGGGCAATTATTAGCCAAAACCACGTATTTACACCCTTAATGATCTTTTTGACCCATACTCAACAAAAAATCTGAGTCTATTCTACATGAAAACCTTAGCTATTACAGGTTAATTTCATGAAAGTATTGAAATAAAATCCATCCTCATCTGTAATAAGCTGGGAATTAACCATCATATCTCCATGTTCCATTATACCAGCGAATGACAAAAGAATTGTGCGAAATGAAAGATAGATTTTAGACAGCACTGAGTGATCTGGTAAATCTACCACATGTAATTAATTCAGTTAAGGCGTTAAGAATTCACCCTAATTAAAACTGTGAGCATAGTCATTATTTAATCCTCACAATTGTGCAGGACTTCATGTACCCCAAGACAGAGCTATAGAGATAACGTGTTCTTGTTTTAACTGAAGTTCGGTTTGTGCAGATGTTCTCCAAAAACTGGATGCCTAACTGTTGCATATTTGCTGACAGTGTTAAACACATTATTAGATAAGACAGCTGTCTAGACATGTTACGTCTGAATAATATTTTTAAGAGGATTTTTCTTGAAAAAGTAGCCTACCTGTTTTACTTTTACTTTTAGTCATTTAGCAGACGCTTTTATCCAAAGCGACTTACAAATAAGACATTGACAACATTAATACAACTGTAACTAAAACTAAAATAGATAACTAATACAAATCAAACTACATTAGTTTATCAGTAATCCTAAAAAAATAACACTGAGCCAAACACACATGCTAAAATAACAACAACTTACTGACACATAGTAAGAAATGGTTATAAAAAACTGAAACCGAAGTGAAACAAGTAGTAGGAAAGAGGAGAAATCCAGTTTTATAATAATGAGAGAGGGGGGAAAGCTCGTAATTTAGATTTACACTGCATATATATATATATATATATGCCACAGACACATACATAGTTGATAGATGAATTTGGACAGAACACACTTTGATATTTCAGCAGGCCTGCACAGATAGCCTAATTCATCTTTCATCTGTTCGTGTCAGAGACTACAAAACCGTAGAATCAAACATTCTCGTCATTCACGCACAAATCGACATTTTCATTGTTAATTGGACAACATGCAAGTATAGTTTTGTGTATTTTATGTCACATTTGCAATAAATCGGGCCTATGTCTGCTTCATACGATCGTCATAATTGACTCAACAGCAGTGAGCAGCAATGATTTGGTGATGGAGTGATCAGCTGCTGTCGCACCAGCACAGAGAGACGCCTTCTGCTGTCTTTCTCTCTCTCTCTCTCTCTCTATATTTACATCAGATATCAATGTGACATCAGTAGCCTATGCATGAACCAAATCCACGAATTCACAGATATTTTGTCATATTGATTATCATGGCTGAATCTTAACATTCGATTTGAAATTATAGGCGTAATTTAATCGCTTATCAAACTGCTCAGTACAAAGAAATGGTACGTGTTAAATGACACGTAGCAAAAACATTACCCTTCTAGTGTGAAATGTGATAAATCTAGAGCGAATCTGGCTTTTTATCTTCAGCCCCTGATGATGCTGAATATCCTCCGACCTTACCTACAATACTCCAGATGCACTGATCTCTCCCAGATAAACAAAAGAAATGTCCCCTTCCGCAATACGATAGGCGCTTCCCCGACTACACGATGTTATTTTGCGAAATCCAGTTAAAAGATCTTCGATTCTCATCAGTGTTGTGGTTCCATGTAGACTACACCCTCTCCCGTTAGAGACACAGATGATGCTGTCATGGCATCTGCGTCCAGCGCCGCCACCGGTGAATTTCTACAGCGGAATACTGCAACACCACTGAACCACCAATCATCCGAGTCGGTATCCAGAATGAAGACACTGGCTTTTTCATTGGATCCAGAGGGGGAAATGAAATGAAATAAATAAATAATATTTTATTTTAATAATATGTGCTGGGGAAAAAATGAAAAGGTCTATATAGTCAAATGAAGAAGGAACGAGCTGTTGGTTGTGATTAGTTATTGACACTGCACTGACAGGTTTAAAGTAAAAAATATATATTTTGAATTAATTTTTTTATTGCTACCTTCATATTTGCCTTCAACCTAATTTTTCAGTGCATATTTCAATGTGATTATGAATTTTTTATAGATTTTTCGCATGCAATGCATTGGAGATACTTTAAAAAAGTAAAGGTATA